CCCCAAAACCCCAAAACCCCAAAACCCCAAAACCCCATAGGTGGTTTTAGATAATTTAAGAATAATATATTTAAATCAGGAAGCAAAAGGGAGTTTAAAAAATAAATAAGAAATGAGTAACCTAGAAACTATTATCTTCACCATTGTAGCTGCTCTCTTCTTCCTAGTGGTCTTTCTTGGCCACTGGTTGCTAAGAGGTCAGTTTTATCAAACATCGGCAAATGATCTTATACCAAGACTTCAATATTATACAAATTCAATATGGTCAGGATATAACCACTTTGTATTTTGGTTCGGTTGGGAATTCCTTTGGGTAATTGCTGCTGGATTTTATGCTAAGTTTAACAGAGCCTCATCCGCATTCCTGCTCACATCTACTTGCAAATTCATAGTGTTCATATCTCTTCTTAAAATGTTTTGGAATGATCCTGCTCCATACATGGACAAAGATCTTATCCGTGCCGGAAAATGTAATCAGGACACCTTCCAGACTCCATCCCTTGAGGTTTCTGTTGCAGCTTTTGCTTACAGTATGATGTTCTACCTTGCTTATGACTGGATTGACATTGTGAGACCAAGAGTAAAGGGGAATGATGGAAACAATATCCAAGGTGATAATAATCAAGCTTCATATGAAGATGAAGCCAATGAGTTCTTCCTTCATGAATCGTCTGACTACCAAAGGACAAAGGCTAACGATTTTTCATTCTGGGCTATCCTTGCTCTTATCCTATTTGGTGTATTCATGATTGCTTATGCAGCAATGTACTTTGGAATCAATAGTCTAGATCAAGTATTCTACGGTATGTTCTTGGCTTATGGAATCTTCTGTGTGGTATACTTCTTTGTGAAGGACTGGGCAATTCATAGATACATCCTCATCTCAGAGAAGATGATCCCTGTCTCTAAGATTGTTATAACTTCAGTGCAACAAATAGTACTAATTGTGCTCTTGATAATTGTTGCTAGGATTTATTATGGCTTCCAAACAAATGGATTCACTGTAAACCCTCACTGGAAATCAGAGCATGCTGACAAGTGTAAAATACTATCTTTCCCAGGCTTCTTCGATAAGGAAATGGGAAGAATTTATAACTTCCTCTTCCTAGATCTCGGAATTATCATTGGATTGGTGTTTGACTCACTCATTCTTGGAGGGACAAGAGTTGACTACAACCAACTTAGAGAGTCAGAAGACCGTAACTCTCTCGTAGGATTCATTTTCAGATTTATTATGACTGTCGGATGGATCATCGCCTGCATCATCGGAATGGATTACTTATTGGGCATGCTCGTTCACCATTGGCTGTTTATTATAGCTATACCATATTTCGTGTGCGGATTCGGATTGTTCACATTCATCAAGTACATTTTTGAGGTTGTGGGAGCAACCAGACCAGAGATCCATCCAATTCTGGAAATAAAGTCAGTTGAATTGAGAATAGAAGACTAAAATTATGAAAACTGTGATTCAAATCTGTTGAATTAATTAGGGGTTTTGGGGTTTTGGGGTTTTGGGGTTTTGGGGTTTTGGGGGTTTTGGGG